TCAAACACCCCTCAGGGAGGTGCTGTGTGAGGGCTGCACTCCCCAGCTACTGAGGGACCTTCCTGCAGCTCCCACGGGAGGGGGGAAATCCTTCTGGAATGACCTACTGCAGCTCCAGGAGCAGGCCTGGGACAGGGCAGGAACTCTGCAGAAACCAAGCTGGGGACCTCACAGGAGTGACAGAAACAGGGAGACGTCCCCAGAGAGACCCCATCTCCCAGTGACAGTTCTGGGCTGTCATCACCTGGTACCGACACACGATGTCTCTCTCGGGCTCCTTTTCCCCGCGCTGCCTCCTCCCTCCCCCCTAATTAACGGCATCTCTCTCTCACGGTAATTGACTCGCTGTCCCCCCTGTCTGTCGAGGCCACGGCACAAGCAGAAGTTGTCACACTGCTTTATCCTAATGATCTGGCGGCAGAGTGTTTGATCTAATTAAGGCACACAATTAAATTACCCCTTTTCTGGAGTGCTCTAATAAGGCAGTATTTAGAAAACACTGCCAAATATAAAAGCAGCCATTTATAACACGTGCTGCAGCAGATCAGCTCCAGGAACTTCCACGCCGGTCCCAGGCAAAGTGCTCTCAGTGTGGCAGAGTCACCCCATATCCAGCAAGGGGAGGCACAAAACTGCCCTGATCAGTGTGTCTGTGAATTTGTGTTCCTGTGGAAAGCCTCCCAGCAGGCAGGACGGTTAATACCAGTGGAAGCAATTTAATTGCAAAAATTTAAGCTTAATAAGCATCCAAAGGGGCCTTCCCAAAAGCAGAACTACAGCAGGGAGCAGTGGGAATTCAAATCTGATTAACAGCCCCGTGAAAAAGGATATATTTTCTGCTTCTCCTCGTTGTACAACACATCTACCAGCTGGATGACGTTTTTGTGCCGTAATCGCCGCAGGAGCTGGATTTCCCTGCAGGAAGAGACAAGGAAAAAAGTTATGTATTAAAAGCTAATTCCCCAATCCATTTCTTCCAAAATCTCGCCCAAACTTAACCTGAATGAATGGTTCAGAGACCTGAACTGAATCCTCTGTTTGTGGGGAATAATGTAAAGCAGCATAAACACCTTCCCTTGGCTCAGAGAACGGCCTCTCCCCTGTCAGCTCCTCTCAGCTGCTCTGATCTTTCTCTGCTGGGATTTTGCACCTGCCCCAAACCACATTTTAGTCTCTCTTGCATTAAACTCAGCCTGCAAAATCCCGCTGGATGCCAGCTGTGGAGAAACAGGCGGATCAGGACAGTCAGGTCAGGGTGGTTCTGTCGGTGCCTGGCACTGCAGGTCCCGCTGCTGCTCCACTCTGAGCTGTGCTGAACTCCACAAACTCTCCCTCCCACCTCCCTTCCTGTGCCATTTGGCGAGTGCTCCGAGCAGCGTGGTCACACTTCATCAGCTCCAGCCCTCGGAAGCAGCACTACAAGGAATTCCAAGCACAGCTCTGGAAGGGAGAGCCCCCGCCCAAAGCCCCTCACAATTCGCAGCTCCAACAACAAGCTGGGTCAGCACTGGTTGGTGCCTCACGGCTGAGTAACAACAACAGCTCCTTGGAAAGCCTCCTCCAATGCAGGAGTGCAAGGAGAATCCTTAAGGATCTTTTAGGGATACCTGAGCACTTCACTACCAAAGTTTAGGCCAGGGACTCTTCCTTTCTCAACTCTGGATTTAAAAACGCCCCCGAGAGCTGAGCAGAGAGCTGGGACACCACGGGAAAGCTCCCAAGAGTTCATGGGCACGGCAGACAGGTCTAATTATAGGAACGACCAAAGGGCTGGAGCGGATTAAATTAGCACAGGAACTGCAGCCAGAGTTAGTGTGGGGTGAGGAGATCCTGCAGCAGTGGGGAGAGGACCGAGGGATCCCACTGGGGCCGAGGGGTCCAGCTGGGATGCTGAGAGGGAGGAGAGCACACACACTCCAACACGACTGCTTTAAGGCAAAGCAAGCTCCCAGTGTCAGGGACACATGTACAATCCTGATCCCAACAGCTCATTCCCTGTAACACAGCTTGGAAGCACAAACACTAATTCCTTCCACCTTCAACAGACTAAAAAAATATCTCATATTTCTGCAATGATTTCCCCCCCACCCCGAGGACTTTGTGAACCAATCCAAAATGCCAGGGCAGTGCCCCCCCTACTCTGGGGCAGAGGTCAAGCAGCCCTTCTCCCAGAGGAAAGATTACTTCTATTTTTAGCTCCTCTTGCACTCAGGAATGCCTGAGGAGCAGGGACAGCCAGCCAGTCACCTCCAACCCTATTTTGCTTTGCAAACCCCACGAGCAAGGGAACTCACCTCCTCAGAAAGGGTCTAAAGTTCATTTTTTTCCCCAAAATTAACACCCAAATCCCATCCCAGCCCAGTGCAAGTGTGTGACCAGACAGGCTGCCAGAGGGCAGGGCCTGCTTCCAAGTGCAGCCTCCTT